TTTTCTACTTCTGTTATGTAGTTTCCTTCCAAATCCTTGCGTATCATTTTTATTGCTTCTCTTCGGGTCTCGCAGTATTCTTCTATGTTTTGTTTGCCTTCGCCTTACAAGGTCCTTTTTTCTGTATGGACAATTTATCTCTGACTATTTGGTGGTCGCTTCCTGTGTTGAAAGAGTTTAGAATTGAGATGTTGGTAACAATTTTCTTGGACAATGATAGGATATAATCGATTTCGTTACGTGTTCAGCCGTCAGGGCTCATCCATGTCCATTTATTTTGTGTTTGTTTAAGAAACAAGGGGTTCATTGCATAAAGTATTTTGTTTTCGAGAAAGTTGCATAATATATGTCCTCGTGGGTTTCTTTCTCTTAGTCCTTGATTACCGATGTAGTATTCGTCATCGGATAGCGTTTTTCCAACAATAGCGTTGAAATCGCCAATAACCAGGTCATTATTACATTTGTCTTCGTCTAGTGCTGCTTTCCCGATGACCTCATATAGAATCTCTACTTCTTCGTCTTCGTGAGTGGATGCCGGTGCGAATATCTGAATTATTTTGATTCGGTAGTCTTTTAACAACTCCAAGGTTACATATGCTACTCTGTCCGAGATTCCGATGTAGCTTTGAATCTATTTAATCATTCTTGGGCGTATTAGGAAACCTACTCCTCTTTGACTTTCGCTTTCGTGTCCACAGTGATAAAAGGTTTTGTCCGATTGAAGTGTTAACAGGTTTTCTCCATGTCTTCTGGTTTCAATCAGTCCAATGATGTCCCATTTAATTTTGCCCAGTTCGTTTTCTAGATCGAATAGTTGAGTGATCGACAGTTGTATGTTGCTATTATGATGTTGTTCTTTTAAGAGTGCGAATTTTTGTCTACCCCAGAATCCATGAAGCCAACCGTCTTTCGTTCTGTTTCAAATTTGCCATATCTAAGGGGTTTTAGGATGTACTGCGCCACGCTATCCTACTGCGGGTTGGCGAGATCGAGGATTTTTGGAAAGGAAAATTTGGGTTTGGTTGGAGGAATGGGAAGAAGGCAATAGTTCCCCCCGTATGGTCTTGGAAGAGAAACCAAGGCTCGCGTGGGCAGGGGTGCGTCCCTGACGTAGATCTATCATCTATTGGGAATATAGATGAGTATCTACTCGCTACCCTAAAAATCATGTCTACATATTATTTATTTGAATACTTTAAAAGCATGTTTTATTAGCTAAAAAAGTTAATAAATATAAAAAAATCTAATCTAAAGTAATTTAAGATTTTATCAGACTATGAAGGCTTTCACGGCCGGTCAGATTACATTTAGAAATGTTTTCCGGGCTTTGAAGCCGTGGTCTATCGGAATTTCTTCGAAAGAAAGAAAGAATCGCAATCATTCTTAGTCGGAAAGCACGGGAGATCACTTCGCCCACTGCCTCATCGCCTTTGAAAATGTCCACCGCAGTTGTGGACGAAACGTCAGGAA